ACACATATCCCCCACACACAGACACACACTCACCCCCCCACACACATCCCCCACACACACAGACCCCCCCACACCCCCCCACACACACACCACCATAAGGTAACCATTAGCTCCAGTGACACTTTACCATAAATACATCATACTGGTTGTTATGACAGCTGGGATAATTACACTGTAACAATTGTGTCAGAATTAACGGCTGAGTTTGCAATCTAAAATCAATTTATTTCCAATTTGGATTCAGGCATTATAGTTATATCATTACCAGGCTTCCTGACACTCTCTGGTCCAGGGGTACACCAGAGGTGGTAGGTGCAAGGTGGTGGGCAGGCGGGGGCTGCTGGCAGACTGGTGGGGGCTGCTGGCAGACTGGTGGGGGCTTCTGGCAGACTGGTGGGGGATGCTGGCAGACTGGTGGGGGCTGCTGGCAGACTGGTGGGGGCTGCTGGCAGACTGGTGGGGCTGCTGGGAGACAGGTGGGGCTGCTGGCAGACTGGTGGGGGCTGCTGGGAGACAGGTGGGGCTGCTGGCAGACTGGTGGGGGCTGCTGGCAGACTGGTGGGGGCTGCTGGGAGACAGGTGGGGGCTGCTGGCAGACTGGTGGGGGCTGCTGGCAGACTGGTGGGGGCTGCTGGGAGACAGGTGGGGGCTGCTGGCAGACTGGTGGGGGCTGCTGGCAGACTGGTGGGGGCTGCTGGGAGACAGGTGGGGGCTGCTGGCAGACTGGTGGGGGCTGCGGGGGGCTAGGTGGGGGCTGCTGAGAGACAGGTGGTGGCTGCTGGGAGACAGGTGGGGGCTGCTGGCAGACTGGTGGGGGCTGCTGGGAGACAGGTGGGGGCTGCTGGGAGACTGGTGGGGGCTGCTGGCAGACTGGTGGGGGCTGCTGGGAGACAGGTAGGGGCTGCTGGGAGACAGGTAGGGGCTGCTGGGAAACTGGTGGGGGCTGCTGGCAGACTGGTGGGGGCTGCTGGGAGACAGGTGGGGGCTGCTGGGAGACAGGTGGGGGCTGCTGGGAGACAGGTAGGAGGCTCGTGGGGACTGCTGGGAGACAGGTAGCGGCTGGTGGGAGACAGGTAGGGGCTGGTGGGAGACAGGTAGGGGCTGGTGGGAGACAGGTGGGGGCTGCTGGGAGAACAGGTGGGGGCTTGTGGGAGACAGGTAGGAGGCTGGTGGGGGCTGCTGGGAGACAGGTGGGGCTGGTGGGAGACAGGTAGGAGGCTGGTGGGGGCTGCTGGGAGACAGGTGGGGGCTGGTGGGAGACAGGTAGGGGCTGGTGGGAGACAGGTGGGGGCTGCTGGGAGACAGGTGGGGGCTTGTGGGAGACAGGTAGGAGGCTGGTGGGGGCTGCTGGGAGACAGGTGGGGGCTGGTGGGAGACAGGTAGGGGCTGGTGGGGGCTGCTGGGAGACAGGTGGGGGCTGGTGGGAGACAGGTAGGGGCTGGTGGGGGATGCTGGGAGACAGATGGGGGCTTGTGGGGGACAGGTAGGAGGCTGGTGGGGGCTGCTGGGAGACAGGTAGGGGCTGGTGGGGACTGCTGGGAGACAGGTAAGGGCTGGTGGGAGACAGGTGGGGGCTGGTGGGAGACAGGTAGGAGGCTGGTGGGGACTGCTGGGAGAGAGGTGGGGGCTGGTGGTGGCAGGTGGGGGCTGCTGGGAGACAGGTAGGAGGCTGGTGGGGACTGCTGGGAGACAGGTAGGGGCTGGTGGTGGCAGGTGGGGGCTGCTGTGGAGACAGGTAGGAGGCTGGGGGGACTGCTGGGAGACAGGTAGGGGCTGGTGGGGGCTGCTGGGAGACAGATGGGGGCTTGTGGGAGACAGGTAGGAGGCTGGTGGGGGCTGCTGGGAGACAGATGGGGGTGCTGGGAAACAGGTGGGGGGCTGGTGGGAGACAGGTAAGAGGCTGGTGGGGACTACTGGGAGACAGGTAGGGGCTGGTGATGGAAGGTGGGGGCTGCTTGGAGACAGGTGGGGGCTGCTGGGAGACAGGTAGGGGCTGCTGGGAGACAGGTGGGGGCTGGTGGGAGACAGGTAGGAGGCTGGTGGGGACTACTGGGAGACAGGTAGGGGCAGGTGGGGGCTGCTGTGAGACAGGTGGGGGCTGCTGGGAGACAGGTAGGAGGCTCGTGGGAACTGCTGGGAGACAGATGGGGGCTTGTGGGAGACAGGTAGGAGGCTGGTGGGGGCTGCTGGGAGACAGGTGGGGCTGGTGGGAGACAGGTAGGAGGCCGGTGGGAACTGCTGGGAGACAGGTAGGGGCTGGTGGTGGCAGGTGGGGGCTGCTGGGAGACAGATGGGGGCTTGTGGGAGACAGGTAGGAGGCTGGTGGGGGCTGCTGGGAGACAGGTGGGGCTGGTGGTGGAAGGTGGGGGCTGCTTGGAGACAGATGGGGGCTTGTGGGAGACAGGTAGAAGGCTGGTGGGGCTGCTGGGAGACGGATAGGAGGCTGGTGGGGGCTGCTGGGAGACAGGTGGGGGTTGGTGGTGGCAGGTGGGGCTGCTGGGAAACAGATGGGGGCTTGTGGGAGACAGGTAGAAGGCTGGTGGTGGCAGATGGGGACTGCTAGGATTTGGGTAGGAGGCTGGTGGGGCTGCTGGAAGACAGGTGGGGGCTGGTGGTGGCAGGTGGAGGCTGCTAGGAGAGAGGTGGAGGCTGGTGGTGACCGTTGGGGGCTGCTGGGAGACAGGTGGGGGGCTCCTGAGAGACAGGTGGTGACAGTTGAGGGGCTACTGGGAGACAGGTGTGGCAGTTTGAGGGGCTGCTGGGAGACAGGTGGGTGCTGGTGGTGGCAGATGGGGTGGTGGTGGCCGTTGGGGTCTGCTGGGAGACAGGTGGTGGCAGTTGAGGGGCTGCTGGGAGACAGGTGGGAGCAGATGATAGTAATTGGGAGGCAGGTGGATGGAGGTAAACTGGTTGTGGGGTGGTAGGTGCAGGTGAACTGATTGTGGGAGGGTAGGTAAAGGTGAACTGGTTGTGGGAGGGTGGGAACAAGATTGGAGGCAGCTGGTGCACTCACACAGATGGCATCACTCAAAATTGTATTCCTTCTGAGGTGAATACATCACCTTGCATACAAAACATTAAGAGACTTGAGGAGACATGACATGTGTTATCTGTTGAGGAGGAGCAGGAGGAAGACTGGAGGGGGAGCAGGAGGAAGACTGGAAGGGAGCAGGAGGACGACTGGAGGAGGAGCAGGAGGAAGACTGGAGGGAGAGTAGGAGGAAGACTGGAGGAGGAGCAGGAGGAAGACTGAAGGGGAGCAGGAAGAAGACTGGAGGGGGAGCAGGAGGAAGACTGGAGGGGAGGAGGAGGAAGACTGGAGGGGGAGCAGGAGGAAGACTGGAGGGAAGCATGAGGAAGACTGGAGGGGGAGCAGGAGGAAGACTGGAGGAGGAGCAGGAGGAAGACTGGAGGGGAGCAGGAGGAAGGCTGGAGAGGAGCAGGAGGAAGACTGGAGGGGAGCAGGAGAAAGACTGGAGGAAAGCAGGAGGAAGACTGGAGGAGAGCAGGAGGAAGACTGGAGGGGAGCAGGAGAAAGACTGGAGGGGAGCAGGAGGAAGACTGGAGGGGAGCAGGAGGAAGACTGGAGGAGAGCAGGAGGAAGACTGGAGGAGAGCAGGAGGAAGACTGGAGGAGAGCAGGAGGAAGACTGGAGGAGAGCAGGAGGAAGACTGGAGGGGAGCAGGAGGAAGACTGGAAGGGGGCAGGAGGAAAACTGGAGGAGGAGCAGGAGGAAGACTGGAGGGGAGCAGGAGGAAGACTGGAGGGGAGCAGGAGGAAGACTGGAGGGGAGCAGGAGGAAGACTGGAGGGGAGCAGGAGAAAGACTGGAGGGGAGCAGGAGGAAGACTGGAGGGGAGCAGGAGGAAGACTGGAGGGGGGCAGGAGGAATATTGGAGGGGGAGCAAGAGAAAGATGATTGGAGGAGGAAGAGGAAGAAGAAACGGGAAAGAAGTAGCAAGAGTAAGTAACA